AACTTTAGATTTGTTGAGGAAATATCTTGCAGAACACATCTCCTGCGCTTTGAAGTTTGTGATCACCAGTGAGTATCGCAAAATTGTGGTGTATGCCCGAATCTCTCACTGGTTGGATTCATTAACCGTGGCGATTAACACAACGCTGTTCATGACTGTTCGTGACCATTGCAGGATGCACCTGTTATGACAAAAATAAGCAGGCATGGATGACTGAATGCTACCATCAGTTCGTACACATGCATGGTCGGAATGACGCGGATCGAAGCATATATCTCCGCTCGCTCCGCGAGTAAGAGCAACCAGGTGCTCGTGGAAGGAGCGCACTACTTCGGTAAGTACAGCGACGTGATAACAACGCGCCGTATAAATTATATCATATAATCGTCCTTGAGTTTCAGTTCGGGAGTGGCAGTCGATTCGGAGTTCGACAGGATGAACTGGAGATACGTGAACTCCTAGGAGGCTCTCGTCCCGAGATAAGATGTTAAAATAAATGACTCCCTACTAGGGAGCCTTCAGTCTGTTTCGATCTCGAGCACCCACAGCGGAAAGCCTCTCGGCTGGAGCTGATAGTCAGCATAGCGAATGTCGCGAATGTACAACCTACCCCGGTGTAGGTGATTAAACTCACGAGAGAGACCGATGGGTCCGACAAGGGACCGTTGAGAACAACACGTTGTTGTCAACAATCTAATCTCAGTGATCGTCCTTCTATAGGGCCAGGGTGGCGACCATGAGAAGACATCGCTTTCTCACAGTGTCCAGAGTGAAGTGTTAAAATGCACGAAACTGATGACGCCACTAACGAACCACATAGTGTTGGATACATCTACTACTATTCGCGGAAGCAAAGAGACCAACTGATCTGAGCCTGTCGAGAAAACTCATTATCTTCTGAGCACCCATCAACCGAGGAAAACAACACGGAAAGTGCCTCCGCTGCGATTAGATCCAGAGCTCCGTGGGGTGCATGCCCACCATCATAGGAGGAGCACTAGACACACAGAACTGTGAAACGTTTGTCCCTTACAAGCTGTTATTTTAGCTGCTGCCAGGTCCGGTATATAGCAAAGACTATGTGTCTCAGACTTTTAGTATGCAGATTCACAATCGGAACTCGAGGATCATCCGTTATTTATTTAGTTTCATCGATACCTTTTTCTAATGACCTTCGTCACGAAATCGAGTTCCACCTTCATCGCAGCCTTATGTCTATTCTTGTTGGGCAGTTCACCTCGTGGGGTCATGTCCGCTATATCTGCTGCTGAGGGAGATGGTCAATTACCGCCGGAACCTCCCACGGTAACCATTGATATGTCTGAACCCCCCGAGGAGCATTTCAAACCAGCAGTGAGAACTGTCCTCAAGGAGTATGCTTACGAGGATACATTTGAGCCCCTATTCCGCGAATTCAATGCTACCGTATTCGGCAAGGAGAAGCTTCAAGACGAAGACTATGATACTCTGGCTGATGCTGCTGATAAGTTCTTCCCTACGCAGGCTCGTGAGCTCAGGGGCATATCGGAAGAGTTCGGTACTCAAGGCCATTACGTGAGATATCCTTATCTCTCGGCTTGGTTGTATGCAATTGAGATGGAGCACATCGAATATCCTGATTCATCAAGCACTACTGCCGAAGACAATAACGAGTGCACTG